CTACACCCCCTTTAGGAAGAGAACAAAACCTAGCAGTCAAACTATTAGATGCTTGCCTGAAAATGCCCTCTCCCAGCTTCAGGACTGTTTTGCCCACACAGATTGGAGCATCTTCAAACAACAGGACTTCGAGTTATACACAGAGACTGTGCTTTTCTACATGAAGAACTGTGTAGAAAATGTCACTGTGGACAAACGCATACGGACCTTCCCAAACAGGAAACCCTGGATGACCAGCGAAGTCCAGACTCTGATCAGGGCCCGTGACCTGCCTTTCAGAGCAGGTGACACCTCACAGTACAGCACTGCCAGAGCTGAGCTGAGAAGGGGCATCAAACATGCTAAGGAGATGTATAGGAGGAAGGTCGAGGGCCACTTTACTGACAGTGACCCATGACAGATGTGGAGGGGGATACAGGCCCTGACCAACTATAAAGGCCAGGGCCCAACAAACAGCAAGAGCAGTAGCACTCTGGCAGAGGAGCTAAAAGCTTTTTTGCACGCTTTGAGACCACCAAGAACCTGGACATACTGCCTCATGAGGACCACAACGCTGCACCTCTTTCTCTTCAGGTGCATGAGGTGAGAAAAACACTGAGAGCAGTAAATCCCAGGAAAGCTGCTGGGCCTGATGGCATTCCTGGTGCAGTAATTAAAGTGTGTGCTGATCAGTTGGCAGAAATACTTACAAAGCTGTTCAATCTATCTTTAACACATGCCATCATCCCACAATGCCTGAAGGCTGTAACCATCATCCCCGTTCCCCAAAAAACAAATATAAACACTCTCAATGACTATAGGCCCATAGTGTTAACAAGCTCCATTATGAAGGTTTTTGAGCGACTAGTTTCACAGCACATCAGAGACTGCCTCCCGCCCTCCTTTGATCAACATAAGTTTGCTTATAGAGCAAACCGATCTACAGAGGATGCTATGGCCATCACACTTCGTAGAGTGCTGAGTCATCTGGAGAACAAACAGAGCTATGTGAGGATGCTCTTTGTGAACTACAGCTCTGCGTAGTCTCTCCCAGATATACTAGTAACCAAACTGTATAATCTGCAGGTCCCCACCCCCACGTGCTCCTGGATTAAGAACTTTTTGACAAACAGACCACAGTCTGTTAGACTTGGTCCCCACTTTTCTTCCACTATTACACTCAGTACTGGTTACCCCCAGGGTTGTGTCTTGAGTCCCCTGCTATATGCCTTGTACACCTTTGACTGCTCACCAAGCCACGCATCAAACACCATCATAAAGTTTGTGGACGACACGACCGTGATTGGTCTCATCTCCGGAGAGGATGAGACGGCATATAGGGCAGAAATAGAGAACCTGTCTATCTGGTGTTCACAGAACAATCTGTCACTGAATGTCCATAAAACCAAAGAACTGATTATGGACTTCAGGAAATATGGACAGGACCACGCCCCACTCATCAATGGAGAACGAGTGGAAACTGTCCCTACGATCAGATTCCTTGGCATCCATATTTCAGCTGATATCTCCTGGTTCCCTAATACCAAGGTCATAGTGAAGAAGGCTCAGCAGCGGCTGCACTTCCTGCGGGTTCTCAGGAAGAACAATCTGGATAAGAAGCTGTTGCTGGCTTTCTATAAAGCCTCTGTGGAGAGCACTCTGACATATTGTCTGGGTGTATGGTATGCAGGCTCCACAGTTGAGGACAGGAAAATTGTACAGAGGGTGATAAACACAGCTCAAAAGATCATTGGTTGTCCTCTGCCCTCCCTGGAAGACTTAGCCAGGTCCCTCTGCCAAAGCAGAATCAAGGCCATCATAGAAGACCCCTTACACCCTGGCAATTATCTTTTTGACCTGCTGCCGTCTAGACGGCGTTTTAGGTCAATAAAATCCCACACCACTAGACTAACAAATAGTTTCTTTCCCTGGGCCATCCAAACCACAAATAAACACGAAGTTGCTACCTTATTAAGATGTGAAAAGATGTGAAATCTCAATACCCCATTCAGATGTATAATAACAAATTTCCCAGGTGTTGATGTCAAACTGATTGGTCTGTAGTTTCCTGGATCCACTTTCCCCCACTTTTTGAAGTTTGGAACCACATCAGCTCTTTTCCTCTGGCAGTTCCCCCGTGTTCCAGGAGCTCTGAAAGATTTTGTTTATCTGAGATTAAACAGAAACTGAGTCCCTTTGTTTATTGGATGTTCTTCCTATTTTTATCTCCTCAAAATAAAATATATTAGATACATTCGGAGATAAATTTTGCTTTGAACAGGTACATTTATGTTTCTTGAAATAGTAAGATGATTTCAAGGCACTCTCTTTAAATAATAAGGATGTCATTAAGATTGTGTCTGAAGTCATATTAGAAAATCTATCTTTTCTTCCCGTAGATCAGGAAATAGTTTGGAAAAGCTTGTTCTAAAATTTTGGAGAATCAGAAGAACTCAAAATGTATGCATATTAAAAAAAAGGAGAAATTGCCAGGAAGGTACCAAATTATTCAAAACACCTAGAGGGGTCCACTGTGGGTCCTCCAGGAGTATTTTAATTATGAAGTGCTGCCATTAGCTTCCAGACCATCTCAGCATGGATGGAAAAGGTTAGTCAATATGAAATGCACCGAAGGGAGATTATTTTATATTCAGAGGAATCGAGAGAGCTGTGGCACGTTTTGTACTGACAAGAAGAAAACTGAAACTGATCAACTTTTAATGTGACTACAGTGAACATTGCGAATATGTTTGACTTAGCCCAGCATGTCGAAAGAGAAGATGCTGTGCTCATTCTGTACCAAGGGTTGAGAAACACATTTTCTCTATTGCTGTAAGTGGAGAATTTATCTTGTAGTTGTTTTTCCTTTGGAATCTTGTTCTCAGTTGAACTCGCTGGCATAATCTTGCCATGGCTTTGTTGACCTTGGTGTTTGGAATGGAGCAGGTCAACTCAACTATGAAAGGCAAAGGCTGCTGGTGGTGCCATCTCTCTGCTGCATCTATTGACAGTACAAACGTAGGTCTTTCCTGGCATTTCTTATATATAGTGGTCCCAGAGGTTTCTAGCAGCCGTATTGTGTCAGATGTGTTCTATTCTGCTGGGGGGAAAAATAGCATTGATTAACACCTGAGCTGTGCACAAGAGACTGTTATAGGAATATTAACAACTATGCACCGGCTCAGAGAACTGCTTTGCTTTTGCTGTAGACTAGCTTGTTAAAAAGCCTTTGGGAGTGTTAAGTGACTTGGGGATTAACAGTCAAGTATAGAAACTACTTGTACCCAGATCCAGGCCAGGTTTGCAGCAGTCAGTTGTTGTCCCCTTTTAAGGAGTCAGACTTTTATGAATATATGAATGTCCATCAACCAACTTTTTCCTGAGCAGCCCAGAAGTATCTGCAAGTATAAACTTTAACCCAGAGAACACATAGACCTCAGACTGGTCATTGCATCATGTAAGGAAGAGAAATGCAACCATTAAACTTGGTCTGTTATTTGAGCTAGTCGGTGAGAGTAATTATGACAGCAAAGACAGAGGTGCCAATGGAGCCAAAATGAATGCTTCAAAGCCAGAAGTTGCTGGCACTGATAATACATCTTTTCCGTTCTGATCGCTGTAGATGTACCTACTTTACAACAGATGTTGAGCAAACAGTAACAGTTTTATAGTACCTATAACACAAATTCAAAACTTTCTCCTAATGAGAGCATTGAGCACAGGAAGATCTGATACAAAGCTGTAAAAATGTTCTGATACACTGCTCCCTCCATTGGATTGCCCAACAGTGCTTAAAGCAGCATCTGTTCTATATTAGAAACTTTAGCCCCCTGGTGGAAATGACTTAAGCAGCATAGCTGGTGGTTTGTCAACAGAAATGGAAAGGAATTCAATTGTATGAAATGAACATTTTAAAATCATGTTTATAGGTGGCTAACAAGAAAAGCTGTGGTCTCTGATTGGGTTTGCCCTGATTTCATTGTTATGCTGATTAAATCTAACTGGTATAAAGAATTATTGCAGCATATATGATTATTCTAGTATGGGGTGAAATTTGTCTGTTAGCCTTTCTTACCCTTGTTTAAAATATATTTCTGGTCTTGGTTATGTGATTATAACCAACCAGATAGTATCTACTAAGTATCAAAGCCATAGATAGGTGCCTTTATTTGATAGGTTGTTAAAGAGGTCTCGTGAATGTAGAAATGAAATAATTTAGATTATTGGTGCAAAATACTTCATACACAGTTTAAGTCAGGGGTGGGATTCAAATTTTTTAACAACCAGTTCTGTGGGCGTGGCTTAGTTGATGGGCGTGGCTTGGTGGTCATGTTATTGGCTGGGCGTGGGCAACTCAATATCACTCACATTGAGGCACGCATCTCCTCGCCTGGCCTCTCATGACTGTGGGGATGCTGCAACAGTTGTGAAATATGAAAAATGGTCATAAGTCACTTTTTTCAGTGCCACTGTAACTTTGAATGGTCACTCCACACAAGTAAAGTACCAGCAAAGGAGGGGAAAAAAAAACTCGAGAGGTTCCTGAGACAGGAAGTCTAGTGCAGCCAAGAATGTAATAAGTGTTAACAGAGAGGCAGTTTCTGTAAGCAACACCAGAATGTTTCCTTCCTGCCTTCCTTACAGGATTAGGCCAATAATTTCTTCTAACAACCGGTTCTCCGAACTGCTTAGAATGTTAACAGCCGGTTCTAGCGAATACGTGCGAACTGGTAGAATCCCACCCCTGATTTAAGTCAACACTTCTGTCTTCGTGTATTGTTTTGTAATGGCTTTTAGGATGAAGGCTTCAAAACTTCAGCTTACATAGTGAGAAATATTATGCCATTATAAATTAGATCTCACTGTTCTCATTGTGATGCCCCACGCAAACTGGTCCTACTTGGCAAGAAGCTTTGAAATTGTTTTCTAAAACATATATTGCATGCTTTGTTGTGACACTTGACACTTCTTGAGATCTTCAAGAAGACAGATAGAACAACTCTTTTCTTTTTGTTTTCAAGTAATGACCCGGCGACAGAGGGAAGCTAAGAGCAAGCTTTCCAGCCGCAAAAAAGCCTCCAAATCTGTAGATATTGACAAGTAAGTAGGTATGCTCCATATAGTCCATTTCAGTGATTTTCAGTTGAAGCTCTGGTAGATATTTCTATTACATAAAACTCCGAAGCTTTGGTATCATTATGTGTTCAAGAAACAGCCTATAATAGGAAAGACTGCCTTAGTCTGTCCTATTTTTACCTTTGCTTAGTAGGGGGCTTCACATTCTTTTTAGAATTCCTAATTCTGCATTGTCTGCCCAGAGCAGTGCTTCTCAATCTCATCCGCTTTAAAATGTACAGACCAATTCATGCTGGTTGGGGAATTCTGGGAATTGAAATCCACACATCTTAAAGATTGAGAAACACTCGTCTGGGGAATGTTGTTGACATGCTATTAGTTAAACACATTTGTTGCCCTCTCCCCTTTTATTTTCATTATTAAACCCATAATGTGATTGAAGCAATACTTATAAAATTCTTTTAACAATGGCAAAGGTGGATTCCCGGCTTTAATAATTCAGTTCTGGAACCTGCCAGGACTGGCATGTAAATATATTTCTTGTACTGATTGTGTCTGCATAATTCAGACCCTACAGATGTAATGATATAAAGATAAAGGTAAGAAATAGAGCTAATATTCAAGCACAAATGCCAGTCTGGCCATTATGATACAATATTTCATGTGAATTTGGGTGCCTTTAAGGTTCTGCTTGCCATTCCAAATTGTAACAAATGTACCTGTTGTATCCATCTCACAGCTATTTTCATTATTAGAGGAAATTATTTATTCCTGCAGTGATGGTGTTTCAGCATGGTGGAAACATGCAAGTCCCCTGAGCATTAAAAAAAATAATAAGAAAGGGAGAACTTAAAACTGTAGTTAGCAAGCCAAACAGAGACCACAAGCAAATTTCTGTTGCACTAGTATCATATTCTTCTTAAATGTATTTTTGTTCCTGAAACAAAATCACACAATTTGTTTTGGTCTCGCACAGGCTGATAGAGGCAATAAATATCAATGCAGTTTGCAAACCATCAGCTGTAGGAAGTTACCGTGTTCTAAGAGCAGCATTGGTTGAAAAACTACCGTACATGAATTGGTGTGCATATCTACATGCTTCTATCAGAACAAAGCTATGATAGAGAAGGTTAGCATGTCTGGGGCCTACCTGTTAATGAAATTAAGAAATTCAAATGGAACCGGTTTTGTTTAATCTTGCTTACTGCTGTCCCCCTCCCACCTGTTCACCCGCACAGTATCTTAAGAAAGAGTCTGACAGTAAAAATCCTGCCTGAAAATAATGTTGCTGCTACAAACACCGGATGGCAACATAACTAATAGAATTAGGCTAATTATAGAGGACAGCTTCTGTTTAGACACATTATCTTGGTAATCAGCAGGGACTGGAAATAAAATATGGAAAAGTACTGCAGGATTTAGCATCAAGGGGGCTCCTCAGACACATTCCAGATACCATAGTGCAGCACATTTCACTGGATTTCTCTAGTTCCAGATCATCAGTTAAGCAGTTGCCTCCAGTTTCATTTCTGCCACATGCCAAAGGGGGTTGGGTGGGAGCAGATTTGCTTCTTGGATTGTTAGCAGTGGAATTATGGGACACCGTTGAGCTAGTTGGAGTGATCTGAGAGTTGGTAGGGGCTGGTGTTGTACCATGTTCTTCAGCACAACGCATCCTCGCCAGTACTGCATGCTTTAAAAAGGAAATAGCACCCTTGCAGATTTATTAGTTAGATGATTTCATTTAGACTGAGTAAAGCATGTATCTGGCTTTAATACACTTGATTTGCTTTTGGGGGCACAACATAAGTCCAATGTTGCAAAAGCAGATAGTTCATTCAACTGAGTTGACAGGTTCTGAAAGAAAAATCAGTATTGTTTGAGATAGCTAGAGGAGCTGATTTCATTACATCCCTTTGCTGCAGTAGCAGCACCCAGGAAAGCAGTTGGAAGAAAACTGCTAATCATTCTGTCCTTTTTTGATTGGCAACAGGCCAATTTTACAAGATTGGTCACATCACTGTGCAGATCCTGCTCCATTGACAAGTCTTACCTACAGAACAGCTAAAAGCAGCACAAATGAGAAAGAATGAATCCTAATACAATCCTTTCCTTCCTTATTTGGCAGATATGAAAAGTGTTATCTTTGTAAATCTCTAATACTAAGGAAAGAGTATCAGAGCCATGTTGATGGCTGTCTTTGTAGCCGGAATGCTGTTGGAACCCAGGGCCACAGGAGGCTGCGGCATGCAAAAGTAAGGATTCTTGGTTCGCACTTGTATGGATAGACCAGAACATCTACTCTTGTCTTTGTTTATGTCTTTTTCTGAAAGGAGATTGGGTCTGCCTGATTCTCCAACCCCCTTAAATAAGCTTAACTACAATGAAATGATATACTTTGGCTGTTTGATCCTCTTTGACTTGATTTTACAATGATGGGATTACATCCCAACCAGAATATCATCAGCCCACAGCCCTCTGGATATCAGTTGATTCCAGATCCCATCAGTTCCATCCGCCATGATCAGTGTTCAGGAGGGAAACGCATGGGGGGGGGAAGCCAACCGGCAGACTGAATGAGGAAGGAAATCCTCCCAGTTGTAACCTTTGCTGTATCAAGCAACGGCCTTTGATTCACAAGCATTATGTCTTCGGAAACTACAACATTCACAAGAATGCTGATAATGAGCATGTTTACAATACTTCCCACTCAAAGTGGGATGCAGTGTCAAACTCTTAGAATAACAGTCACCTTCTTTGGAATTTATGCTTTTCAAAGCTAAATATTCTGCAGTACAAAGTATTCTCTTTCTGAATACAGGGACTCCCAGATTCCTGAATACTACTTATTGGTTGTAAAAAAAAAATGTATAACTGCTTTTATCTTGAATCTCAGTAAACCTAAACAAGAACTTGGTTTACCAGTCAGTGGCAGTCTCTTTAACAGCAAGAGACCAGTGGTTCACTGTAACTTGCTAGCTTTAATAAAATATTTGCTGAATATTCTCCATTCGTGATATGCTCTTACATGAAGTCAGTGTCCACTGTTTTGTATTTATGGATTTTTTTAATTGGGCTATAGAATGAGTCTTTTTCCATTTGAATCCTGCCTTTTTTCTCCCATGAAAAGAAAAATGAAATAGTTGTGTGGTTCCTTTTCTTTAACATCATTTGGTATTCTTGATGTAGAAGAACTCTCAACAACTATTGGCATCAATAACTTAGCCTTCTCAGTAGTACAAATTCGTAGTTTCCATAGAACATACATTTATTTAATTATCAATACTTTTTAACGTGATGTTTTAATCAAAGCCTCTTTGAAATGTTTACAAGATTAAAGTATGTAGCTATTGCTGTTCTTCCCATCTTTGTAGCTATGTTTAATTTCACGATCTGTGCAAAACATGTACCTGCTTCCCTTCAATTTTCCATTCTCCTATATCTAAAATGCTGGAGCACAATATTCTCTCCACTTCTGAGAGATGTATTGCAGCCATGATGGGATGCTTTTGAATAATGAGAAATATGTGTTTTATTTTAATTATTCCAGCTTCCTTCTACAGGTAGCTGATTCTTTCTTTTGAGAAACATCTTTGTGGAATACTCGGCTATTCACATGGCCATGCATTGTTTGAATGTTCACCCATATTGATGTTTTCTATTCTACTTGTACAATGATTCACTTACTATCTTACAATAATATTTTTCTGTTTATGATCCTTTATGGCCAACTTTTTGGCAGAGAGAAAAGGACATAAATGGTAAATGCAAATGTTTTAGCAAAATCTAACAATATTTTCCTGCTCAGAATTGTTATCTTGAACAAAAATGACTTCTGCCCGCTATATTATTGTCTCACTAGAGTGCAGAATTGAGCCTTACTGGTGGACAACAAGCTGTAAGACAAAGTCTGTGCTAATTCTTTTCCTTCGGTTTACTTTGAATTCTTTCCAAACACTATAGTAACTCTTTGCATTTCATGCTATGTCAGGCATACCAGTGCAGTTGATAAGGAAGCACTAGCAGAGATAATGAATTTGCAGGGAGCCTAATGCATGTACTGTAAGTGAGCCGCTAAATGCTACTGAAATAAATGTAAAATAAAAGGTATAAAAGAAGGGGAGGGGGATTTTTTTTTTTAAAAAAAAAGGTAAGTGTAAAAGAGAGGAAGGGAACAGTAGGACTCACACACGGGAGTGATTGAAGACAGCTGGATTTGGAGACACTGAAAGACTTAGTGGATAAGTCAGAGCTGGAAATGAGTACTGCAGAGGAATGAAGAACATGGCTATCTGGTAAAACTAGTCAGCTTGCTTGAAAATAAATTATTTGCAAAAAAGAAAAAGCGCATTCATGGAAAAGTGAACCATACCCGAGAAAGACATGCTGTATTTCAAAAAGTACTGTATATACTCGAGTATAAGCCGAGTTTTTCAGCCCATTTTTTGTGCTGAAAAAACCCCCCTCGGCTTATACTCGAGTCAGATTCCCCTCTGAAAAAAAAATGGTGTGGAGCTCCGGAGCTGGGCAGGCGCTTCCCTGCTTCCGTGTTTCCTTTGCAACTTTTAAGCATGGGGGTAATCGGAAGCAGAAAAGTTCTTGCATGAGGATATATTGTTTTTTCTGTTTTTAACTGTTTTTAACTGTTCTATGTGCCGGGCCCGGCAAGTCCGAGCAGCCAGCGCATGGAGCAGGACGGCGCCGGAGATCGTTGGCTGCCTCTTTCGCAGCACGGGAGGCCTCCCCCGGCTGGCCAGCTGCTCTCCTCCTTCTCTGCCTGTTTGTTCTGTGTGACCGAGGAGGAGGAGACCGGCCGGCTGGTTGGGGGAGGCTTTCTGCGCCGAGGGAGGCGGCTGCTGGTGTCCGGCTTTGCTCCGCTTCTCCGATGGTCCGGCGCGGCCCTGTTCTTTACTTGGGCAGCCGGGCGCCCGCAACGGCACCCATGGCGGCAACAGGCAGTTCCACCCGGGCTCCGCTCAGGTGTCCGGCTGGGGCTGTCAGGAGTTGCTGCCGCCGGTGCGGCCCCAGTCCCGCGTCGCCTCGGGAAGGGAAAGGCAAAAAGGAAGAGCCGCGGCAGCCAACGATCTCCGGCGCCGTCCTGCTCCACGCGCTGGCTGCT